CGCACCTCCCGTTAGAACAGACTCGCTGCCCGCAGGAGCCCCGCGGGCCGTCACCCCTCTCCCCGGGCGGCAAACGGCACCTCTGGAGCCAACCGAGAACTTGGCACCCACTGGCACATCCCCACCCGCCGAGACACAGGCACCAGGAACCGCCTGTCCCATCTTCCCGCACCCTCATCCGGATTCACACCATTTTGGGCACTGGGGGTTCCCAGCAGGGGCAGAACATCGCTCACCCCAGGTGGCAGGGAGGGGAGAGCAGAGCCACCCCAGGAGGGTCCCAGACCCTCCATGGACACCCCAAAGGCTCTGGCGTTCTCCCTGACCCAGAGCAGGAACACGCGCATCACAGAGGAAAGGCCCAACACCGCCACTTCTTTTATACAACAAAACAAAATGGCTTTTAACAAACATTTATTGATGCAACCTGGTTACACCTTTAGAATCGCAGCTTCTGGAAGAACCACTTGTTCTTGCCTGTCTTGTACCTGAAAGAGGAGGACACACAGGTTGGAGAATGCTCCCACACCTGCACCCAAGTGGTCCCCAGCCCCTGAGGCTTCCCCCAAGGCAATTCAGCCCATATCCCCCCCCCAGGCGGCAGCCAGACCTGCCCACTGTGCACATCCCAAATCCCAAGGGAAGGGGTCAGCTCCCAGCTTTGCTCTCATGCTCGTAAAGGATGCCCACACTGTGGCAGGTTCCCCCCCAAGAGACAAGACTGGCCACGCAGCTTCTGCCACTGAAGGAGCCTCTGAACAGAATCTGAGGAGAAGGAGCATCAACCCAAATGCTCCTGGGCCAAGCCCTGGGACTGGCAGAAGAGACACCAGCACCCGAAGGCCCTGCTGGTGCTGGCACGAGTCCACACATCGCCCTGACCACCACTGAAGTGTTCCCTGCCCCAGCACAGCAGCTCCCGGGCAGACACCTCACAAGCCCACAGAGGAGAGAAGGACACACTCAACCCAAAATACATCCAAGGAAGTCGGGGGCTGAAGTGTCCAACCTGGCACTGGCCACACCGAGAGCCCTCAGGCTGGGGATGGGAGGCGACACCATGAAAAGATAAACTTCCAACTCACCTTTCCTCAAACTTCACCTTGGCTTCACGTCTTGCTTTGCGCTTTAGAGCAGGGTCCCTGAACACATCTTTGTTGACCACTGTTTTGTCCAGGGGAATATCAACGGAATACCTGGATGAGAGAGCAGCAAGGCTGGGAAAAACCATGGCAGCCAAACCGGGCAGCACAGGGAGGAGAGCTGGGATGAGCAACCACACCTCCTAAAGCCCCTCAGGTCAGGGAATCACCAAACCACCCGAGCACCCCGTAACATGGAAATCAGGCTGGAATGCAGCGCTGGGAGGGGGAGGGGGCAGGCGGCTCTAGCCAAGGTGATGCACTTGGCAACCAAGCTCCAAGGGGATGGGAAGAAACACATCCAGGCCATGACAGCTCTGCCGGTAGCCCGGACCCCCATGGCCACCAACACCCATGATGAAAAGGAAAGCGAGTGTGGCTGAGGAAGGAACCAGCTGCTTTGTTTCGGAAGTTCATCAGTGTTTCCCCTCAGTCTCACACCCTCTTTGGGCAGAGCGTGCACCCCCCGTTTGTCCAGTCACATAATGAAAAGCCCCAACAGCTCCAGCGTTCGCTGGAGGGAACGCAGGAGAACAGCGACTGCGGGGAGCAGCCGAGGCTCCTCCAGCGCCGCGGCCGCACTCACCGGGTGGGCATCAGGTGGTTGTAGTTATAAACCTTCACGAAGGACTTGATCTTGGACCTCTTCGCGATCTTCTTCTTGCCCATCGCGGCCGTCACCTTCCGCGGG